TGGAGCATACGGCATGCTCACATTACCTTAATGCTGCCGTAGACTATTGTCTTCCATCTTCCTTTTCTTTAATTAATGCTATTTTCCTTGATGATACTTCTAAAGTAAAATCAGAGTATGCACTTCGATTTTAGAGAACTCTGATATATTGACTCTTAAACCAGAAATTTTATTCTCAGGGCAAAATTCTGCAAAACACAATCCAGAGAGCAAATAATGTGCACAAAACACATCCTCAGAAAGCAGCCAAGAGCAGGATTCACATGCTGCTGCCTAGGTTCAATGGCCATCTTACTTGGCATGTCAGCTTATTTTGGCATCTGGCTACCTACAAACATCCAAGCTTTTAACAGAAAACCAGTCCCGCTACATATGAGTCTGTCTCTGGTCTGTCAAACTGACTCTAGTCACATTATAGGCCTCAATTTTACCCCGAATAACATTTAAAATAATGCCTCTTCAAATGACTTGTGGGTAAGCAGTAGTTGAGATCTGTAGTGAGTTGTTGGGTATAAAAATCAAGCTATAGTTTAATCCCCAGAGGAGTGCAAACAGAAGTTAAAAGAACTGCAAAATTTTTATTACACTTTTTTTAATAAAAGGGGAGGACTCTCTCAGGAAATGCTGGATTAATCAATCTCAAATTTGGATAACCATCCTGGATTTCCACAAAGTGCAGCAGATTTCGAAACAATCTAAATAAACATTTGGATTTTAGAGCACGTACACAAATTAACTGCTAAATAGCAAACTAGTCCCAATCTCAACTATGTTTGAGATGTAAAATTAGGGGCAATTCTCATCTTTCAGTGCTACTTTTGTAGTCTGTTGACTGTAGCCACTCTTACAGTCAGCTCACATTCTGAAGGTTTTCTTAGCAACCAGAAGGACTAGATCTTAAAAATATTGGGGAACAAAATGGCAGTCTCAGCAAAAGCATGTGTTTCATCAACTTAGTCAACTAACTCAGTCCAATTGATTATATCAAGAAATTAGTTAAAAGGTCTCCCTTTGTATCTAATTATTTTAAATTATATGGAATGTTTTCATGATGATCACCACCAACCACAAATGGAATGGACACCACATATGGCTGGGACAACAGATGGTTAATTCAGAAAATGAAATCTTTGTTCTTCCAAAACCTATTCAGGATCTTTCTTATTTCTGGTGATGGGATATCATGTAAATAAACTTCCGCTGAGAGTAAATGGTCAAGACATCCATTGCAGTCTTTCTGAACAATTGACCATTCTGTGCTCACAGAAATATGAGTGCTCCTCCATTAAAGAAATATCCATGACCCACTAATCCTGAATTGCTAGAGCCATGTGGATTAGCTGTGCATGTGATCAAGTTTCCATTTCTTGCCAGCCACGTGAGGAGTGTCTTGTTTGACATTGCCCAGTCCTCATAAACTTTAAAGCCAGAACGGACCATCATGGTCATCTGGTTGAGTGTTTCTTAAACTTCATTCCGAGGCACGCTGTCAGTCGGAGATGTGCCGCAGACAACAACAGAATTCAAAATGGCCTCCCTTAAAGGGGCAGGCGACTTTTTTTTTTTTTGCACTCTAACCTTCCCCCAACCTCCCCCCTCCAACAAAAAAAATCCTCGGTGCTCCTCATAAAAAAAAAATTGTTTGGTGTTCCTCAGTCTTAAAAAGTTTAAGTTGCATTCACACGAAGTCCAAAACACAAGAATGGTGATACCAATTCTCCCTTCTATTCTACATACTAATTCTTCTTAGAGTAGCCATGTAGCTGAAGTAAATATAACTTCCCAAACATCTTATTGTACAACAGAAATCACCAAAGTACTATGAAAACTCTTTAGAGAGGGGACAGTTGCTCATTGACTTCTGCAAAGCATCCATCACACTTTTGGGCATTCAATAACAATGGAAATGGACACACTGGTTTAAAAGCAGAAACAAACATTGAAAAAGCAGTCATTTTGTACATTCAGCCACTGTCAAATCCCGATGTACCGGACATCAGACAAATATGCAAAACATTAGCAGCCTCTCCTTTTTTTTCCTTGAAAGAAAAGAAGTTTCAAGACTATTGTATTTTTGCATCTTTTTAAATACAACAATATGCAATGGTACTAAAGTTGTATATTTTTGCAGTGGAAAAAATGCCCTGAAATAAACGTCCTCAAGCCTCCTTTCTGAACTCACCAGGCTACTGCCCATAGATAGGATATATTCCCATGCTCAATCTTAAGAAAAGAGTGTGTGCATAATTCAGACCCAAGATTTTATAGGAAAATACCTCTGATGTTCTGCTTGATTTTTTTCACAAAATGGCAGATATTTACTAGACACAATGCACTATGATTCATGTTAACTGGTGGCTGAGGGCTGATTCTGTAAATGTGTGTGGATTTTCAGGAATGATAGGGCTTGGCATTTGTACAAGGGTGCATCTGTGCAGAGCAGGTTGCAGAATTGGGATTTCATAAAAATGCTGAAATATTGGTAATCTTCTGAATGATCAGATCATTACAACCAGATTTTTCATAGGTACAATAAGTATTTATCTAAATGTTTTATTTCCAAGGTTGTCTATTTTTAAAATAAAGGATGAAATTATACCAGAAATAGTTTATTGAAGCCATGCTCTTGAGAGCAAGATAACATAACTTGCTGTATGTATGGCAGCAAGAACAAAAATCAAACAAGGAATATTTTTTAAAAAAATCTAACATGGACATTATTTAAAAGCTAACCTAAACTTTATCTATGAAAATGTCATTATTGCAGGTTTATTATACCTTATGGTTTGCTTTGCAATAGTTCAAGTTGTTTTAGAACTTTTAATATTAAATTTCATTGTTTAAAATGTATAGAGTTTTACATTTCAAACTTTCCAATCCATTCATTTAAAGTGTGGGTGGTTGTTATTACTGGGTATTTTAATTAAAACAAATCCCTAACAAATTAATACTTAAAACGAAAGTTTTCCCATAAATAGTTGCTTTAAAAATTCAGAACAGAACTTGGTATTCTCAAGAATCCTAAAATACTTTGTTTCCTGCTCAAAGCTCAGTTACTAGCTATGATAAAAAAGCTGAAAACTGCAAAATTATACAAGATATTGACCCACATACACATTTTCTTCTCAAGGTCAAGAAATGTGAAATGCCTCCATACCTATTTTGAATCTGGGTTTGACAGTCTATTCTGTACTTGTGTGTGGCTACAATGCTGTACGACCTCACTAAGCTTAAAAATAATTTAAAATATCTATGAGGGTAAGTTATGTATTTTTATATTTATGTTCATCTAAATTAGAAAGTATACTCCTGTCAATTTCTAATATAGTATATTTGACTTTGGCAAACTAGCTCTGTTTGTAAAAGCTACTTGCAGTGGCTGGAATGGGCATGGGAACTGAAAAGTGAAAAGAGCTTGATATGCTGATTCCATACTGATACTGAGTACACTATTTCAGTTCACAGCTATTTCATGCCAATGCCTATGTCTAATTTTGCAGGAAACCAAAAGTTCAGGGAATGCTCATGTGCACAAAACACTTTCCCATCATTTTTTAAGAGGGAAACAATAATAAAAAAAATATTGATTAAAAAAAATCTGTTACAATAATATTTTAATCTAAATTTTTCCAATAAAATTTTCAAGGCTTTTTCTGAATAATGCATCTGCACAACAGTCAGATTTACTTTTATAGACAATAATGACTTTGAATCAGGTCATTCTCAAACATCAACAAGCATCTTAAAACCTCTTCAAATAATTCAGTGGCAGCAGCATCATGAGAAATGTAAAGTCCCTATTCTGCTTGTACTTGTATACAATTACATACACAAGCAGTCCCACAACAGTCAGTGGAACTAGCAGGCACAGATGTGTTGGAACTACATGTGCTACAATGAAAGAACTTGTTGGATCTAAAATATTGTTTTAAACTAATGGCAATGAGCATGTATAAAATTTTGACGAGTGCACTATAAAAATGTATTGTGGTGTTGTATCTGTGTCAGTCCCTGAATCTGAGGGAGGCAAGAGGATGGTGGTGATATCTTTTACTGAGCCAAAGACATGTTTTTGAGCCACACAGAGCTTGAAAGTATCTTTTTCTCTGACTCTCAAAAGTTGGTATGGTGGGAAGTAATACCTCATCTACTTTGTCTCTATAATAAAAATGTATACATATTTTATGAAAAATACAGTTCATTATGGAAAGGTGTGATTTATGATAAAAAACAGAATCTTATATCTGTAATTACCAGAAATATGTTCAGGTTTATAACTAAGAATTTTTTAATCAATCAGTTAGTGTTCTTTTCCCCCATTCGCAAAAATGCAAGTTAAGGGATGGACTATTATCTATATTTTTTATGTTCTTCTTGTTCCAGCCTCACATTCAAATGTATCTATTGCATTTCATTAGCACAATAAATATTTCATCATTGGGAACATTTCAAAAGTGTGTTTTCAAATAATTGTTAAGTTATTTGTTATTTAAATAATATACCCTCATAGAAAAAAACATGCATGTGTGACTCATCTACATATGTAAATTTCCTTGAGGATATATGTTAGAATATTATCAGTTGCTGTCTTTAATAATTGCCTTCAACATTTTCTATCCCTTATATCAGAAACATATTTCCATGAAGAGAGACTTTTTCATTACATTACATTTGTCAGAAGGTGGAGCTCTGCACATGTCTTTATAACTCTACTTTATATATTCAGTTCACAACAAAACAGACAATACTATTCAGAAAACAAATCTTAGTTTTAACTCTAACATTCAATGCCTTTCATAAATATATCAGACCACACTGGGTACTGTGGGACTCCTGCAGTAGTTAGCATTTTAAATAATTTTCAATTATACAAAAAGTTTTCAAAATGAAATTCAGAAATTTCTGATGCTCCCCATCAGTTTTGTTAAAAAAAATGACGCGCACACAAAAACCTGAGACTTCACTTTTTAAATAAAATAATAACAATAATTGATACTTACATGCATCTCTAATATACAACAACATGGCTACAAAAATGTAGTCGACTAAATCCAGGGTGATGCTGTCAGCAAATAAAGCATCCCAGACAACAAGAAGGTCCTGAAGTGGGAATTCTCGTCCAAATAGGAGCCTTACCCATCGTCTAGAAAAAAAATATATATACACACATATATTCAGTAGAGGTCATTACTAAATCAACAAATGTATCATAATTCAGGCATAATCCGAAACAACTTAAACAATTTTAAAAGCCATTAAGTTGACAATTTTTGTATTATTAATTTTATTTTGTGAAGTGCTGTTGTGTATTCTAATAGTTACAGGAGGAAAAACATTAGAACATTAAAAGTTTCAACTGACTAAAATGCTTTTGGGCACATGGGACACAGTGGATAATTCTTATAACAGTCTGCATATCATCATTTTGTACATTTAAATTAATATTGGTTTTAAAAGAAAGGTGAGAAAATCTCATTCAGGCTGGTCTGGAAGAACAAAGCAGCAAGATGAAGCCAATGGTTTGTTTAAGCCTCCAAAAAGACCAGAAAACTAAAGCAGAGTTATAAGGAAGAAATCGCTATGGATTGGACTGCATTTACCAGAAAGGGACCTCTTTCCTTTATGTAACTACAGGTTGTACCTCCCTTAACTGGGACTTTATGGTCTGGCAACATCCACAGATGTTTGTGGACCACAGAGCCCAGGTATAGGGAGGTCGGGTTGCAGGGCAATAGTGGCAAGGAGGGAAGAGGGCCGGAGACTCAGCGGGGAGCCAGGGTACAGGTGGCATAGCAAGGAGCTCTAACCTCTGCGGCCAGGTGGTAGCAGGGGCCCAGCAGTAGCAGCCAATAAGCTGCGGCAGCAGTAGAGCTCCAGCCCTGGCCATAGAGCTCCAGCAGCGGCAGAGCTTGGGCCCCAGACATAGAGCTCCAGCTGTGGTGCTCCAGCCAGGGACCTTTATCTCTGACTGTGGAGCTCCAACCCCAGAAGCAGCCATGGTTGGGCAGGCATCAGCTGGGCCAGGCTGGAGCCCTATCTGGAGGCAGCAGGACAGCACAGGCCATATTAGGAGGGACCTCCCCTGGTCCAGCAAATTCCCTTGTTCGGGACTGGTCAGGTCCCAGTTCATTGATTGTCGGTATGTAAAAATGTGTTATATATACTATTTTGATTATGTATAATTTGATTTTAATCAAATTTAGAGACAATCCTAAAAGTAGAATGGCATTCCATGCTCGTTATACGTGTTGTCATATTTACCAAAATGTGGAGATCTCTCTCGATTACACATAATTGTCAGTCAACATTGACAGTCTGACATGCAGTGTGAACGTAACACTGTTAGCTAAGAATGCCTCACTTTGTGGTTTTAGACAGGCAGCCTCAATTTTCACATTACAAAATAGGAATAGCAATAATAGCAACCTAACAAGTCTGTTAATATAAAATGTTACGCAAATGGTATGCAATAGTAGTAATAAGCTTAAAGTGGCTATATAATGGGTTTATAAGAAAATAATTGCATTCTTAACTGGTATGTACACTTTATTTACCATAAAATCTTTTGGTCAATGGGAAGTGAAAACAGAGGTTTATTAGAATTTCCCTCAAAGCAAATTAAGCCATTTTTAAAAGATCGCAACATATGCAGCAAAGATAGAACAAAACGGCAGCCAGAATTCACAACTAGAGTAAACTTACTTCCAAGAGTTGACATTTGACAACCTTTTTACTTTACAACTCCAGTGAGATAAGGTAAAAAATTTGGGGAAGAGACCTTGTAATGGAAGTTGGTTTCTGCACAAATGTGAGGCAACAATCATCAACAAATGACAAATTTAAGAGAACTAGTTAATAGTGGCATGAATCTGTGGTTAGTAAGGAAGCTCACAAAGGGATCACACATCATGAATCATATTACATTCACTTCTCTACATTCTCATTCCAGTTTTTATTCCTTACTGGAACTGTATTTATAATATGAATGCTAACCTCTCATTACAGTAATACGTTTTTGTTGCAAACACAGAACTATCAGAACTCAAAGTAAATTTTTCATAAGGAATATTAGTTTTAAAACCAAAATATTAAAACTCTGCATATAAAATCATCTCACATCTGTGCTTTTCTGTCAACCTGTTATCTGTTAATGTAAAAATTAGTATAAACTTTTTACTTTATAATATTTAATGTTCTTGTCTCCACTAAACTCAAATGCAAGCTGCCTCCTCTATTCCTATCACTCTCTGTAAATCCTATCTTTAGGTCTGGGTTGCAACAAAACAGGAGCCATTGTATCAACTCAAAGCAAGGCTAATCTAGCACATTTAATGTTCTGTATAAGATGTTTTACCATATACTGGCACAATACTCTAGTGTCTAGTCTACAAGAAACTATTATCCTATGGTGACACAAACATTACGCAAACTCTGCATGAAGCCTATTACTTGCTGTAACAACCTCACCCACCCTTAAACCCACAACTTGCATGTTACACAAACTGTTAGGAGCAAAAGCTAAGCTATGGTTGAAGCATTTGAGCTGACTTTGCTTACAACTGCTGAAATCTAATTGGTAGGTTTGATAAAACTCTAATACACTTCAAGGGAAAAAACTGCACCATGGTGTAAAGGGATTTGTTATTAGGCTTTTATTAGAAATCTCTTTTGCTTCTTTACTTCATTATGCAGTGTTAATCATTTGTGGATGCAGGTTTATTTTGCTCAAGCAGAAATCATTCCTTTTATTCCACTTTTATATTTTCTCCTGGGAAAGTTAAATCTCGGTCCCCAGAGATATCATGTTTCACAGATAGAGTGCAGAAGAACAACTGGACTTCTTTAGTAACCATGATACTACCATAAATGATTTTAACCTCTTTGTCCCAATGGAACAAATAATTCAAACCACAGTAAATGCATACATGCTCACTGTTGTTTCTTCTTTTGTGTAGCAGTTAGCTCATAGCATAGATAAGCCAAAGATCCTATCATCTAAGAACCACGTTGCCATACAGAATGACTTCAGTGAACCTTTATATTTATAAAAAGGGACATTTAGTTTAATTAATCAAGTTTTATACTGGAATATTTTCAAAATTAACATGCTTTTATTGATACAAATATTTACAAACAATTTAAGGTGCACTTAATGATAGCATTGGACAAGATAACCCCTGTTACATGTTGGTGGTTGGCTTAATTATTAGCCTGTCTCGTTAATCTTGCTTTACATGTTACACCTGCAGAATGAAATTGTCACAACAGTGCACCGTTTATCACGTGTAATAATACAATAATTCATAGCTTATCAGACCTACTTAGCAATTAAGTTCTACAAAAACAAGAAGTCCAGAATTTTTAAAGCATCAATAAGTGCTACTTTTTACCTGTGGATTCATAAACCCAGCTTCTACTTATGATTGCTATATAATTAAGCAACAACTCTTAAGAGATCAGTAATTACTAGCAAGAGAGAATAGTTCACTAATGGCCACACAAAATAGAGAAACCAAAAGAAATCAATGCTCTGGTACATCTATTAACCAGAGGAATGATCCAGACTTTACCAGCTTTAAATGAAGATTGCCACCAATTTGATTAAGATTTATTGGATAATTCTGTAAGTAGTATAATTAAGAAGCCATACTTTATTTTAGCTGTTCATTTGGCATTTAGATTTTATCTGTATATACGTCTTCCTTCTTCATTAAAAGCAATGAAATATTTAAAAATTGCTGACCTGAACTACACTAGCTTTAGGCATTGGGATAAGAAAGTAGAGGTAATGGAGATAGAATGGGAGTACGTTGTGATGGAAAGCTAGCACACTGCAAAGGAAGACACTGGAGAAAGACAGACAAACATGCAGAGATGAAAAACTATGTTTGTAGGAAGGGTGTAGCCTAACTTCAAACAGGGACCGCAAACACTAAGACTAATCTTTAGTAATCTTGAAATTATTTGGATGAGGCTAAATTGAGTGTCCACGAATAATCTAAGTGTTGAGAACACTGAATCCCCAAACTAAAAACTATAGGTAATTTTCTTAAACCAAGACTGACTTTTGAATGAAATGTTGGGCCAGGCTAAGTACAGGCTGACTGGCTCCTGTACAATGAGACAAAAAAGATAAAAGAGTTCCTTTACATTAGCTCGCACTAGTAAGACCAGATGTATTTCATACAGCTATGGCTTCTTTGGAAGAGAGGTTTGAAGGAGTGACCATGCTGCTAAATAATCACAGTGGGGGAATTGACAAGATTTAATAGTGCTTTACAGACCAGCAAGAGAGCTAGTAAATGTTTGTGTTTATATGAAAGATTAATACCGATCTTTCAATATATCACATGCTGTGCAGAGTACAACACCTGTGATTAACACTGCTCAATACTTTTCATTATAAGACCCTGTTTTCCAGATATAACTTTTCCAACTGTATTCTTGGGCTGCAATTTTTTGTACTGGGCATATGACTAAGGCTGATTTTTTTTTATTCTAAGTTTTTGAGAAAATTATGATGTAATGGCTTCACATTCCAGAAAAGGAGAAAATTATTTAGCTGTTTGCAAGAAAAAAGAAGTAGGGAAAATGTTTTGCCCTCTTAACTTGTTTTTAAACAAGATGTAATGGCTTCACATTCCAGAAAAGAGACATGAAATGCAGTAGTGGGCCACTTGAATGTAAGGTTTTACTGTTCACCATCTCCTTGAATGTGTGTGTGAATATGACAATGTACAAGACTCTGGTAAAATCTTAGTTTGCACATACATAGTAGAGTCTTATTAGTTTGCCTGCTAAATTTCTCCGAAAATACCATTGGTACTGAATAAGGTCCATCCCCTCGTAATTCCTACATGTCCACTGGAATGCAAGGGTATCATCCCCACAGAGCAAGTGAGCATTCTCGAACCCAGGAGTGCAGGACTGAACAAAGTATTTCTTATAACTGCTCCTCCCAATTGTCCTGAGTTGCTGTGGTGCCAGGAACAGGAACTAAGACACCTGTGCTCACAGTGCTTCCCTTGCTGGTTTCCAGACAGTAATCAGGAGGAGGAATTTACCCGACTCAAATGCACAAGGGGAGAGGGACAGGTCTGGAGTGACAAGAGAAGGAAGGTTAGGAGCCTGGGAAGGAGGAGT